TCCCTACCACCCTGCCCGCACTAGTTTACAGGAGGCCCTGTCCTTCTCGCTCCTTTATTGCCCTCCGCAACTCCCTCCTGCTACCTACGAAAATACTGCCCAATTTAATTTTCCACTCCATCGGTCGCCGGACAAAGTTTCCCTCCGCCACTCCCCTCTGACCCCCTCTCCCACCCACCGCCTTCTTTGTTTCGCTTGGTGGGACAGACAGAGCACACCCTCATCACTGCGTTGCGTAGCAGAGGCGGCTGCGACACGCGCACGACAGAGCCCGCAACAATCACTGTTATGCAAACACCGTGACGTCACATTTGAACGACTGTAAACCGTGTCAGTGGTGTCACATTCCGAATGTGACGTGATATTTTAATCATCGTTCCTCACATATTTGATTTTTACAGTGACGTTCAAGATGAATCTACAAACACTGTAAGGGCTATAAAAAAGGCTACAACGCATTGATCTGAATTACAAGTGATTTTCTTTGTAAACTACGAAGAAAACGGAAGCACTGCAATGGAAAGAACTGGCTTCGTAGCTTACAAAGCATTACTTTGTAATACGAAGACATATACCGTTGTAAGACAAAAGACCCCAAAGTAAAGGGCCCTTTTCTTACCCCTGATCTGCACGCAAGCTGTTCAGGCTGAGCCTTCGATCTGTCACAGGCGGTCCAGCAGGAAGTCTGTATCGTTCGATCCAGACAAGATCTTTTAGCACATCTCTAACAACTGTTACTCGATGAACGAAAAGAGGACGGCGTTCCGACACACACAGGTGCACCATTTTGTTGGAAGTTAAGACAGATTTCTTTCACTGCTGCCATCTTACTTGTTCTTTTTTTATTGCAAAGGGAGGTATGCGGTTGTGATGGTCTAACAAGAAAACACACACACACACAACAAGAGCCGGTGTTCACCTTGGGCCTGCTCGACCACGCACAAGGCACAGGCAGGGCCCGCCTCAGCTCAGCACCCGGCCCGCCCCCGCCCGCCCGCCACGCCTTAGCCCGGCCCGCCATGCGGTGGACAAAAGGGTTATTGTGCGCCGGCTTTGGTGCGCGTACAGCCCGGGCTACAACACCAACGCCGCCGCCGCGACCAACGAAACTTTTGCATTAGTTTTAGTCGCACTGCTGCTGCCGGGAAAATGAGACCGCTTACCCAGAGAATGTATGGCCACTTTGTCAGAATCCTCATAGAGGAAAAAGACGGCAAGACAAGGCAGACTCAATTCAGACTGTTTACCTCAACACCGCTGCCATTTTATAACAGTATAAGGTTGGATATATACGGTGGGAAGAAGAGGGCTAGAGTCCACCTAGTATCGACCGAGTAAATCTCCTTTGGAAACAGCAATAAAGTAGCAGTAGCAGCAGCCGGTAGTTGTTCTGAAGTGATCAGCCACCCCCTCCCCCAGGTGCACCGCCAGGCAGGGCGACCAGGCATTATAAAGCAGTTGTTGTCCTGGACTGCCGCAGTGAGTGCAGCAACGCTGCAACAGGGTTAATGGAGAGGGGGAGCGCGCAGGGAGAAAGAAAAAAAAAACAAAAAAAAAAACACCGTCGGGAAATAACGATTACGCTACTCGCCACAGGAGCGCACTAAAAGTACGTGAAAGACCTGCAGGCTGGCCGAGGCGGCTGGCGCGCGCTGACACACAGCCCGTGCCTGCTCTGTTCTGTTCACCATACTCCCTCCTTGCCCCCACCTCCTCCACCTGCAGCTGCAGGCTGGCCGGCCAAGGCGGCTGGGCTGTTGCCTTCTGACACACAGCCCGTGCCTGCTTCCTCCCCCCCCCCCCGTCGCCCCCTCGCCCTGCAGCTGCAGGACTATTTCTCCCAACCTGCCTCTTGCTTCAGCTGCAACTACAGGCTGGCCGAGGCGGCTGCGGCGCGCTGACTAGACCCGTGTGAATTATTCGATATCGAATCGAATCGACCAAATTCGAATTCGTTCGGTTTCAAATCCGCCAGATTCGGTGTCGAATAATTCAAAATTTCAAAATGACACCAAATAGCATTAGGTTCTGGTGTGCGGCACTATGGCTCCATTATGCCTGCACCACACCTTGGACCGTCGTCGTGCATCTCAACGCAAAGACCAGTTTAAAAATGCCGCTTAACGTGTGTACGCAATATGTGACTATTTTTTTTCGATTCGGGCTCGAATTTGGACTGATTCGATTCGAAAGCAAAAACCTCGATTCGCACAGCCCTAGTGCTGACACACAGCCGTGCCTGCTCCATTCACCTTGCGCTCTCCTTGCCCCCTCCTCCACCTGCAGCTCTGCAGGCTGGCCGGAGCAGCTGCGGCCCGCTGACACACAGCCCGTACCCGCTCCTCCCACCCCACTCTTCCA